CTTAGCTGCACAGCTCTAATAAGTACTATAACTACTATGACTGTTTATTTATTATTTTAAGAAGATTTATTGTACAGCTTGCGATGCTAGAAACAAAACCGCATCTCACAGTAACTTCAACAGCACAACATGACAATGAAAAGCCAACAAATCTTTCTCTCAAAATGCTAAATCCTTTTTAATATGGAAATATTTCTGTAGACGACAGAGCTCCCTTATGTCGTTGTCACCTGTTTCGTTACTAAATTTGTGTTTACAGAGTTACTGAACCATGAGGAAATGTATTTTCCAACAATTCTAAATATTATCAAATTCTTTGCTCAGTTGATTTTAAAGAATTTTAAAACTTGACATACGTGTAAACATTCCTTCTGGAAAAAGATTATTATTGAAATATTTTTGCTTTTAAAAATGATCTTTAATAGTCTAATGGTAGGATATTATAGCCAAATCTGGAATAAACTGGTATTATTAATAGTATTACTTTATTAATAAAAATTGTAGTAATTATTTTAAAATAATTAAAATAAGTGATTAAAAGTAAGTAAGTCTGGGGGAACATCGAAGGGAACGAGAAAGCTGTCGGTTAGCTCGCTCTGGTGTTTCTTTAGATGCTTCCCAAGCGGTATCGGCTTATATTCCACTAGAGACCATTAGGAGTAGTACTTAAATCCACTTTTTTCAACTTGCCATTAATAAATGGAATGCACTTAAGTCATCTGCAACTTTCCGGTTAACATAGCCCTCTTATGTTACATAGTCCTCCTCCTGCAAGGCTTACTGCAGTTCCTTTTAGTCATTGGTGTTTTAGTACACACGTAGAGTAATTGCGAATTCCTCATAATCTTCGCAGCAGAAGTTGTGAAAATCTGCAGAAACCATAAAATACTTCCTCTGTCAATACTCGGCTTTAGCATTCAGAAGAAATAGGTTTTTAGGAAAGTACTTTTTTGACACTTTATCAGACTATTATCTAAATTCGACGGGACGGATTTAGTCTATATTCTTCTATCTTAAAAGTTTTTGCAAGGAATGGGATAGCTGAATGGCAAAAAATCGCTAATTGAGGTGCTTGCAAATTATCTGACGGCTTGCCACTTTAACCAAATATCCAACCCACCAACCCAGTCACACTTTTTAATGGTCTTACACTGAATCGAAATAAATCAAGTCTTCATTCAATTCTTTTACTATATTTATGTAGAAAGATATCCAGGCTTGACCATTCACCACTAAGATAAGATGAGAGATGAATAGCCGCTGCAGAAGACCATGTGTTACCATTGTCCTAGTGATATATATCTGTATTCGATGTTATTTGTCCCAATATACTTTTTCAATACTCTATATGTTGTCGTCGGCGGTTCTGGTAAAAAAAGAGTTTTTTTTTTTACTGAGCGTGGAACCATTAAAAGCCTCTGTCTAAGTTTTGAACCCACTAAAATCACGTCTTAAGAATGAGTTGAGACAGACAGCCAGTGAACTGTAAAAAACTTTCGTCTAAAATCACATTCCCTAAATTACGGATAGAAAGATAAGTGTTTGGATTTTTAAATTTATCTAAGCCAGATAAAAGGACGTTATTATAGTATGTATGAACGAAACAAGTTGTTGGGGCAGTCTTTCACTATTAGCTGCTACAATTTATCCAAAAACCAATATAATCTGGTAGTGAGTTTGATGTTGGGGGAAGATGAGTTATAACTTTCGTAGATTTACGAATTTTTATTATTGGGGGGTTGGAAAAGGATTTGCTTGATAAAATTTATAGCAATATATAAAGCTAACAATTAAAATTCACCACGATTTCTTTACTGGTGCTAGGATCGGATTTTTCCTACTTAAATTTATTTCTGTTTTGATAATAGAATTTCCAATTTTGCGAAATTTTATTTCCATTGCATTTGTTCAACAGCGGAATTTTCTATGGAAAATTGCTCACGTAGTCGCTCGTTATGAAATGGAGCGCGTAATTAGATTTTAAATTTATTGAAAATGTGTCGTGTAGTTTTGTTTGGTCTACAAATAAAATTGTTTAGTTTTCAAATACTCGCTCGTACTAAGAAAATTAATGCATCTATAAAAAAATTAAGTTTTTAATAGAATTTTTCTTTAAGGTTCTTTTGGTTTGAGTTTTATATTGTATTAGCTTTCGCGACTGCACACCAATAATTATTCTTAAGGAGCCAAGATTATATATGGTAAGATAGTACTAAAAGTGTGTTACTGTATTGTCATATTTGTTAATATAGATAGATATATAGATATAGATGTTATCCACACGTATATGTCACATTCGCAGATGAATTATTTTCATTTAAAGTTACATTAAATTTACACAATATATACTATTAAGAGAGCTCATTTATATTAGTGTCCAAATTTTAAGTTGTTGCAATCTATTCTCCATTGTAATAATCCAAACATTAAACAGCTACCTATGATAAAAATTTGAGAGCTTCCTCACTATCACCACCCATAACTCTTAATAAAATAACAAATAAAGCTATGGAAATGACTTTATTCAAACAACTTTCCAACGAATCGTCCACTATTTTCAATTGCCAATAATAACCGCAGCAACACCGAATATATTAGAAAGCACCTCACTGACTTAATCCCAAAAACAGAAACTGACTCCGCCAGCCATTCAAGTGCAAATTATGTACAAATAAACTTTTGCTTTTGACATTGCAAAAATGTGTAAAAATGCGACAAAACTCTCAAGTACCAAAACCAGCAGGAACGGAAAGGCAAGGCAAGGAAAGGATAGAAACTTGGAAGAGTTGTGTGATATATTTTATATTCCACTCATGAATGCCGTAGTAACGATCTCGAAATAAATTCAGAAATGTTTTTGTGGAAAAACTGCAAATGGAAACATCGACAACAGCGGCATTTAGTGGCGATGCAGCAGAAGGAGCCGAAACTGCAGTCCCAGCACGTAAGGTTTGGGTGAACACTTATGTGGGGTCACTGGAGTATCTTCTGGCTGCTAAATCGCGACCTCAGTTTGTGACACGAGTTATTTTGTGTTTTAAAAATGTGAAAATATAAAAATAAAAACACTCCTTACATCCTGTGTGAGGAAGTTTTGTGAGTTGGAAAAATATTTATTAACATTTGTGTTTCTTTTTGTGGCGTGATGTGAAGACTGTTGGTGATATGAAATTGATATTTACTGCTGCTTAATTATTTTTACTAATATTTTTTTAGATAATTCAAACGAGACTGCGATTGCTATAGGATAGTTCTGCTTTTAAAAATAAAAAATGGGTACTTAAGTAAAGATACTTGTTACTTAACTACTAAAACGCAGATACCCATTCTCTTATATAGTAGATAGTCACAAAATGTCCATAATTCGTTACACTATGTATCCTACAGATGCAATCTTGTGGCTGGCTTTCTTGAAATACTCGAATGTTTTAAAAATATTTAAAAATGAAATAAATATTGGCAATTCTATATTCAGAAGTAGAATTAACACAAGAGTGCAACTGAGATACTGGTAAATTAGACTTAATCACTAAAAACTAGGAAGTTTGATATCAATTACAGATAAAGAGGTAATAGATAATCTTCATTGAAGCAAAAAGAGTAAGTCAAGAAGAAACACTTTGATGCCCCAACTAAAGAAGGAATAATTCTTCTTCTCTTCAACTTAATATGATGTTGTTGACTGGTGGGTTTGAGTGACAGCAGAGCTTTCACTTCTGTTTAAAAAGAGGATAAGCGATATTTTATTGTCTTATACTCGGTCATGAGAATCTTTCCAACCCGCGTTGTTAATAAGATAAATTATTTGTTGACAATATGTATTTGGGAGACTATCAGTTTCATTAGTTCTTAGACCAACATAATGGAATGCTTCAATCTTGCCTAGGTATATGCAAAGAAAGTGCAGTAAAAATACAAAATTGAGAAACTGATGTAACATTCAGCGTAATATGTATTTAGTCATGACTAAAAAGTGTCAATTTTGACGTACCCGTGACACTCTACATAATATGGGCCTAAGCAGTACCAGAGGTGAGTCAAAATATGAATAACAAACTTACCTCATACTCCACCATCTCTTCGAATAAGAGAGAAAGATACACTTTTAAGAGTGTGAATTTAAAAAAAAAAGATACTTCCAGTTTCTTGTAAATTCTTAGTAGGCTGTTTAAAATATATGAAAATTTTATTTATTTAAATATTTTATTTTAATTTCCATATTAGATTAATGTAAGCTTCTTGAAATTTGGAGGTCAATTAATCATGGACTGATTCATATAAAATAAAGTGAGTACAATATAGAGTCGTAAATGTAAATTCTTTTATTTTTTGTGGGCTATCGGTCTTATTTCAGGTCGTATGTTAACTGAAATATTTGATTTCAGTTGTCCTAAAAGCAAATGAAAAATGTAAGTGCAGACTTTTGATTTCATCTTCTTCTGCAGGAAACCTTAAGTTTGTAGTATGAATTGGGTATAACGCCGCATTAAGTAAATCTCATAAAAAGTCTTGGACTTCTTATTTATTTATATATTTTTAAGTGAGAATGAGACACTGCGATGATCAGGTCTATTGCGTAATGGACTCAACGGGCTTACAACACATTTCTAAGCGCTGTTAGTGCAGAACCTACTTGACAGAATTTTATTTCCTTCTTAGTAAGGATTTGCATCCCCAGGAAACAGCACATATGTGGCTGACTCTTAATTTTCTTCGCAGAATTTACAGTTTGTATCCGTATATATGACCAGTCTCGTAAGGTGGTGTTTTAGTTTACAGTGTCTTGTTAAGTTTTCTATGATAATTTCAAGTGTTTTTATTGATATGTCCATACAATCCTGGTATCACCTATTATCATGGGGACCATTAAGTGTTTTCGACTGCTTAACTTGAATTTCATTTCTATGGCATATTTTTAACTTGAGTTTTTTTTTAGTAATAGAAATTTTTATATAACTTAATTAAATTTAATTTTTTTTCCTTTCTCCTCTCAGAATGCATAATTAATCTGCCAGTTTTTTTAATCCAGCTCAACAATTATCGCCACATAATAAGTAAATATTCTTCAATATATATAATATACTGAAATTTTTAAACCATATATTTTTGTTCCTAACAGGTGTCTAATATCACACAAATTTTAATGTTAATTTGTACTACTAAGCCATGGACTTAAAAGCAGCACCCACATCCATCAAAAAGTTTCATGAAGTTTATGGTGTAGTACAAATTCAGATAAAAAAATTTGATGTGCCTCAATTTGGAACAAAAACTAATAATAAGACACCAACATCATCTTCTTCTAAAAACTCTCCAGATGAAAAGGAATACATGAAAAACAGAGACAAAGTATTACGTATTATTAATGAACCACAAACTGGAAGCACATCTAAGTTATTGACTCTTAATAGCCAAATAAATTATTTAAGTAAAACACAAGGCTATACCTATACCATTCCATTTGTGATACGTTCAACATACTCCTACTGCCCAGCCGAAATATTTGAATCTCTACTTTTGGGTGATGTACTAAAATATATTAACAGTGTGATGTACAAGGAACAAGTACCAGCCATTCTTGCAAAACCAGGCGAAGTAAAGGCCCTGTCTCAATATATGCTGTGGAAAAAAATTATAATACCGGATGAGTGCAAGATAATCGTTGAGCTGGAAGATGTGAAACATTTCTACAGATATATTGAGTACTGTCTTACAATAAATAGGAAGGACTTCTATGATAACAATTGCGGATTCTTGCGTATTAATGATGTTCATGTAGTTCCTTATATATCGCGTGATGAGGAATGTTATGTTTCTGCATTCTTTTTGGATGAAAAACGATTTCAACTACGCAACTATATAGTGGTCCTTACCGACGAAGAATGCCTTTATATGAGAGCTAACTTTATAATAATGAACAAAGAGTCATATTTACATGAAGTAGCATTTGCTATCAATTTAAAACATTTGGGAAAGATTTTCAGTTATGTTATCGCTGAGAGGTATATACCTCGTGAAGTAAGAAATTTCAACATGTGGGATAAAGCTCATGCAAAGGATTATGAAAGACTATCTTGGTGCGATTTAAAGAAAATAAATGCGGAAATTGAAAGTCATAAAGAGGTTGATGACGATGAAAATGAAAATGATAATTATAATCATAAAGATGTAAATGATGATGAAAATGAAAATAATAATAAACATAACGATGTAAGTGACGATGAAAATGAAAATGATAACAATAAACATAAAGATATAAGTGACGATGAAAATGACGACAATAATAGGGATGATTATGATGAAGATAATGGAGATGATAATAAAGATAATAACTGAGATAAAATGTAGATGATAATGGAGATGGTATGATGAAGTCTACGATTAATTGACCTCTGTGCTTATACAAATTATAGTTCCTTATGTATTTAATTACAATGCTACTATAAACAGTTTCTATTACTACAACATGACAACAGAGTCTGGAATTAATTGATTTATTTATCTTTCAATTATGTCTTACATATATAGAACACATTATAAAAACATATGAGATGGTCTATTAATTATTTCAAGCTATGTATATTTATAAATACTACTCAAATATCTGAAATCTACCTATAAAATAAACACATATAACTAATATATACTGCTTTTTTTAGTTCGTGTCAGCAAAATATGTAATAAGCTGTCTTTACCGTATACATTCATATGTACTGCGGACTATTATGTACTCATTATCGAGTTTTTACTACATGCTTTTAGATTGTTTTTACATATGCTACCTAAATGTAATTATGTAATTATCGCTTATATTTTTAATGATATAAGTACATAGGTGAGGCCAATTGCAACTATTTTCCAAACCAAACCGACATGCCAACAAACTTTAATCCGCTTATGGCTGTCCACGATAAATTGTTCATGGCTGTGGGTTGACCAAGCGAAACTTTTCTGCAGTTAGAAACTTACATGGCTAAGCTATTTTTGACAGGATGTTAGCAATTATCTAAATGCGCTTAACTGTTTACCTTTTATTTAGTTTTGACTTAAATGTAATTCAAGGTATCTGTATAATAAATTAAAAGCAAAGTTATAGACAAGCATGTAGATATTTCGCCGTATCTAATCCAAAAATGCTTAAATTGGATTAGTGTAGTCAAACAAAGATTTTTATTCTAGTAAAGAATAAAAGCCAGACGACTATGATAAACTTACGTAGTATATCAATAGATTGGAGTATATATTCGAAATTATAATATTATAAACTTACAAGTAATAGAATTCAGTGGCAGAGCTGCGTAAATATTAGGAAAACATACTATACTAGACGAAAACATCTGAAAAGGGTGTCCTCAAAAAAAAATATTGGAAGAGATATTTTGTAATCATGTGCTGCACCACAACAAACATCACAGATTGACTAGATGCTGTAATGAAAGGGATATCTTAAAATCTATAAGGGAAAGTTTTAGTGGGAGAAACTTTTTGTGAAAATTTTCCTTTAAGAAAAAAATGCTGAAAATCTTAGTTCTTACATTTTTACAAGATTTACTCAGTATTACGTTCCTGGATTGGGTTCTATACATAAGAAAGAATATATAAATCATGCAACAAATAATACATCTACAAGGAGCGCTGACTCTGAGCTTGAAATTTGGCAGGGCACGAGCTGAATCACTGGTATTTGCAGCCTTAAAAAAACTATTTACGAATAGTTAAATACAAGAATAATTTCCAAGGCCACTGATGATGGGTATTTGTCAATACTCGAAACAGCTGTATGCTCAGCCAAAAATTCAATTAAATAAAATAATATAAAATGAATTTTTGTTGTTGTAATTCATTACTGTTCGAAAAACTTCTTTATTTTTACAAATTTAAAAAATGACAAAATGGACAGAATGATGTGTAGTCATCAAAGTTAATATCACACAGTCCATATTGCATACATGGAGGTGTTTACGTTGGACAATATCTTTATTGAAATAAATGAATGTGCGGACCACTCATAGAGTTTTTGCAGTGGACACACTGTACCGGAATATAAAGGAACGTTAGAAATATTCTGAGACTTCATGCGGATACCCTGTGGATACTCTGTTGCCAACTATAAAGTACTGTTTTGTATAAACCTTTCTTTGAATTTTTATGAAGAGAAGGGTTTTGCTAAAAATATTTGGTGTTTTTTTTATTCTCTAGGGAGAATATTCTAATTTGCATTTTTGCTAATTCATCTATTGATATAAATATGCAAAAATAAAATTTGTTATTTTATAGTAGTGCGACCCTATGCTCCTCCTAAGAGGTAAAGGATTGAACACTTAGACACAACACAAGATCTCTTATATGTTGAGACCGATATCATGTTTGTTTGATGGATTTAACTTTGGGCAGAAGCTCAGATGCTGGACATAACTATCCCGAAAAAAATAGAAGCAACGTAACATGTCTATTATCGGAAATTAAAAACAGTTGTTAAAGCTAACTGAAGGGTTATATTACTCTTTGTCAGAGAAAAGAAGTAAAGAAATATTAGAATATATTGAATATTTTCCTTCCAATTCAAAGACCAATTCAAATTCAAAGAACCAATTCAAAGATTGTGGATTCTATTTACAAGAAAAAAATATTTGTAAGATATTGGAATGCAATGATCATTTGCATTCTGAATTTTATAGACTAGATTAATGTTCGAAAAGGAAATGCGAGATAACAAAACATACTAGTCTTTATCTGCCAGAATAAAAGAGAATGAAGATATTGAAAAATATTGACCGTTATCATTCTGAATTCCAAAGGAGATCAGAAGGAATTAGCACACAACTCAAGTATCTACCAATGGAAGTGAACGAAACGTGTTGAAATTATTTGAAAATGAGTACTTTATAAAAATACTATAGTATAGAACTTATTTTGTTTAATTAAATTTATTTTTTCTTTTGATTTTATCGTTTTTATAAGGTAAAGAAATAATCTACAGCATAAATTTAGAAGGATCAAACTATAAATTTAGCTTACCAAGTAACACCAAACCAAGCTACGCCTCTGCTAACATTTAGTAATTTATGAAACAGAAAGCTATTCAAGTCCCCATACTCTTAGAAATAATAATATTACTGATAGTTATATATTTCATATATTTAGATTGAGTTTAATCGAATTTAATTTATTTTTGATACATATTTGCAAATGGTACATTAGGACGAATGACATCCTCAGGGACCATAAGATGGATCCGATCAAAAAATAAATAAAGGATAGAGCCATGAAATTATTTGCGAAAACTGACACACTTATCAACACCGCGTTATCAAATCTAAGAAGGTTACAGGCTCCTCGGGGAGGTATGCAGATCTGAGGTCAATTATTGCTTATTGAAGTGATAAACAATAATCCAGTCAAGGCGTAAAGAGGGATTTTGAAAATACCTCGAGTTAAAAAAGAGTAAAAGTGCTCAAGTGCACTGACTCAAATAGTTTCAATATAAATCTGTACCGAATTTTCGTGAAATACTTTTTATCATAATAATCACACTGTAGTTTAAGTCACACTTCCAATAATATTTCCTTTTCTTACTTAAATTCGAATATAATTCATAATGTTAATTACAATTATTTGGTAAATGGAGTAAAATACTGATATTAAGCATCCTTTTTGTAAAACGTCGAAAAGTTCATAAATAACAATGGTTTGTCATTCCGCTTGTCATTTCAGAAAATGTCATTAAGTTCAATAAGATAAATTACTTCATTTAAGAAGAGTGCAAACCGAGAGTCAACCTTCTTAATAAGTTGTCAATGACAATGTATCTGCTTGAGGCAAAATGTTTCAATGTTACTTTTCTGCCGGCACTTTTCATTACTGAAATTTAATCAAAACCTGATATCTCAGCGACATTTTCAGTTTTTAATAAATAATTTTTGTGAAGATTAATGAGTGGTCGAAAATTCAATTGTCCTCATAAAGCGGAAGTCATAGTTCATTAAAATAAAGGAATTGAGTCAATTTGATTTTGCACAAAAGAATGTCAAGTGTGACAAGATGACAAGGTTAGCAGAAAATCTTCTACATGAACACTTTTTGAATTAATGTTTAGTCAGCAATGCATAAATTTAAAGTATCTTCTTAATATATTAGATTTATTATTATTTCTATCAAATTTTTAAAAAACACATAAAATGGTTAAATGAATTTCTGACAAGAAATCTGCTGCTTCAGGTGGCTACCCCAAACAAAACTCCCCTTCTCAAAGTGTATCAACTTGAGACTATAGGTTTCATTAAGAATGAAAAACTAGTCGGATTAAGAAACAATCAAATGCTTTTTTGCGTAATCTTCTTTTTTACGGTTCCGGTATTAGATTTAGTACAATAGTCTTTAGAACTCATAATCTAAAATTTACTAGATAAGGAAGCTGTGTGAAATGCAGTTGATTTCCATTGCCATACTGACTATCTGAGATTTATATTCCATAAACTTTCATAAATAAATATTAAAGTACAATAAATCCTTTAAAGACTAAAAATGGTTCCATCCGTTCCTTAAAGTTGAAACTCGCCTATTTTGCCTTCAGTCAACACCGCTAATTGCGCATTTAATTTAATTTTATTTAATTTTGTGAGAGAAGCCTGCGATGTAATCAAATTGGAAACTTTTGTGAAGCTTTTATGCTTAATTACGTGCGAAAAGAAACTCGAATCCTTTATTTTTATTTGAGGAAGTAATGAAATTTAAAAAGAAACATTCTTACCTGTGCAAGTGTTGAGAAATTCTCCCTTCAAGAAAATACATTTAATAAAAAAGGGTGAAGTTAAGCTAAGACCCCTAAGTGCACATTTTTAAGACGTTTAACATATGTATGTAGATATGTGTGTACTGGAAGATTGTATGAACAACAGTCTTCCTTTCTTAACAGTTCGCTCAAAAGGATATACACTCATATTCATACGTATAAGGACATATATGAACATGGTTCACATGTGTATAAAATTAAATATTCTCAGAGAAGAGTTAGGAATTTACTGAAATTGCTAAGTGCAAATCTGATATAAGAAAAGAATAATATGTTTATTCTGACAAACTAATTAGTGGTTCAATTAGAGAAACTAAATTAAATAGTAAAGTATTTGAGTTATAATAAAAAATGGATGATTAAACGTAATATGAACCTAAAAGGGCTTTAGAAATCATACATAATTGAAAGACTTAAGCAAAAAATTTCTTGATACCACAGCAAACCTTAAAAACCTTAAATTGTTATTTTTAAAATATTTTCAAAACGATTAACATAAATCATTTTTACTCCAAAATGCCATAAAATTATGTATGTACACTTTAGGTAAAAATATTTGTGGCTTGGTTAGGTTAGTTTAAGTTCGAAAGGCGTGTGCTGACAGTTGTCAGCACTTCCACTCGGAGGCATATATTGCTAAAAAAATTATGCCGGGAGAGGCGAGTTGCTAACCTTTTTAAACTTGTTAAACCATTTGGTTCTCCAGATAACATTGAGGAGATCCGATAAGTCTGCTTTTGTAATCTCTTCCAAGCCAGTGAAAAAGCGAACCCCTAGACATTCAAGTCACCTTGTCTGAAGTCCTCGACGGAGACACAACAAGAGGTTGATGGATTCTACCTCCTATTCATA